AAATTGGCCAAATAGGTTTAGATAGTAAGCGTTGTTTTAGATGGTTTAAACTGATCCTAAACCGTCGATTTAGGTATCAATTCAATTTTTTGGTGAATCTAAACCTAAACCGTTAGTCATGGTTATGATTCCGGTTCTAATTTGATTGCAGTTCCAATTCAATTTTTTTGTTTTCAACCCAAAAATTAATGTTAACTCTAAGAGTGGAAAATGAAATTAGTTCCAATTTTGTTATGCAACAAATCAATTATAAATGATACATTGATGGTGGATAATGCATGTGATTTTCATCTTCTAGGCACTCATAATTTGGCATGTTGCATTAGATCCTTAACAAAATAACAAAATATGTATGTCCCTCTTCATAGAAAAGTCCTAGTGGAAGGTAGCTCTAAATCTTGAATTACTACCATTTTAAATCCTCAAATATAACGCAAATGAATTATAATCCTATCTTAAATTTTGTTTTGCAAAGCTCAAATTAAAATGACACTGATGATTAAAATTTAAGAACTTTAGGGAAAGAAGATTCAAACTTGAAGGAGTAGAATAAAAGTTTCTTTTGATAATAAAACATAAATCAGGGCCTACAATGATTGTCATTCATATAAACAAAAACTACAGAGGACCTAAATACTATGTATAAGAAATTTAAGCATTATTATATCTTGAAGCTTTTTTTTTTTTGAAAAAAATTTATCTTGAAACTTTGAGAGCTTCTCCGATAATTTCGTTAGTTATAACCTAAAGTGGAAATTATTTTGTATTAAAAAGGCCAAAAAAAAAGGACTTGTTTGCAATGTCATATTATTGCTTTCTTGGACCCAAAGCATATATACATGGTCAGGATAGAGCATTTGAGATTATTATATTGGTGCCTAATTAACTTAGTCCTGTAATAATTAATAATTGTAATGGAACACAATGAAACATACTTGTTTATGAAAAAAAATGAGAGAAAGATACAAATCTATGAAAAACTTGTTTATCAAGTGGCTCAAACAAATTTGTTTTGAAGTTAATGCTTTTTAGATAGAAGAATGATGATTAATTAGTTCTCCAATTTTTAGAACATTTTAGCTCGCCTAATTATTTCTTAGTTTAATTCTTTTCTATAACTCCAAAACTGTAAAACCCTCCTCCTTCAGTAATATTCTAAAAAACCTGATAGAAAGTCTAATTCCAACATCTTCTTGTATGAGTTTTTAAAAAAATATGGTATACAATTTTAGCTTAATAAAAATTTTTGTGAAGAGGCAACCTTAAGCACAAGCAAATAATCACTCGAAACAACTATTTTTATGGTTCCTCTAGGAAATTTAGAGATTTTGTTTTGAAAGATTTTATGTGGGTAATTAATGATTCCTAGCAAAAGATGAAAAATAAAAATAAAAATTGAGATTAAAAATTAATATGAGTCCTTACATTAACTATCAATATTTTCACACAAACATTATATACACAAACATGTGAAAATCGAACTAAGCAAGAGGAGGGAGATATTACCTTCCTACATCACCAGGCTTGACTAGCCCTGCATTCACTCGAAGACACGGTACAGAAGCTGCAGTTTTAATCATCTTTGGAGCCTCAACTACTACAATAGGAGAACCAATTCCAAGTTTTGAGCCCTTTGAAGCCGAACCAATTCCAAGTTTTGAGCCCTTTGAAGCCAACTTCATCTCTTTTGATGGTTCTTGATCCAATTCGCACTTGGTAGCTAGACACTGGATTTTGATGCTTATGTACTGGGATGGTGATGAAGCAATGGTATTTGTGCTAGAATAAGGATATTTTGGCATGGAGGAAATGGAAAATGCCATTGATGAGGCTGTTTAGAGCAGTGTGGAAACTGGATATTGTGCTTGTGGTTCTTGATGCTTTTGTCAGTTCATATCATTTTGCAAAGAATGAAACCACTAGAGACAAGTTGCTGCTAAATTATGGACTACGCGTATTGGTCTGGAAACAACACATAAACCTTGTTAATATTTTAATTACAAAATGCCACCAAAGAGTATATATTCTCACTTTATACCCTCATACTTTTATTGATTGTTAATATTTTGGGTAAAATACATAAAACCCTCCTGTGGTTAAGGAAATTGACACGAAACTTCCTCATTGTTTAGAAACACCCACTTAACCCCCTGTACTTTGGACTTTTTAGGATTTTACCTGCTAACCAACTGGGAAGCCAGTAACAATATGAAATACCAAAGATACCCTCATTTATAATATCTGAAAAGGTACAGATGCAATTAGTAAATCTTGAGAGTACTTCATGTGTAGAGAGAGAAACCCTAAATCTACAACTAAGAAAGAGGTGTTTCTATGTAGATCGGTCTGAGTTATAGTGAAGATGAGTCGGCGTCTCTGTGCAGATTGGTTGAGGGTTGCAACGAATCGAGCATAGCTATTAACCAGGTAATCTCATATTTGAACCCTAAATTTCAGAGGAGTTGATTTGTTTGATGGCAGGTGTTTTCGTAGTAAATTGTTGTGGATATTTTGAAATTTGGTAAAAGAAGTATTCTTTGAAAAAAAAAATGGGATATTTTGAACCCCAGTCGCACTTGCAGATGGATTCCCAGAGAGCGTCGAAGTGAGTAAGAGACCTCAATCTTCTGCAAGTCATACCAAAGCAGAGGATTGAGTCTATTGGAAGACGCAACAAGATGGAGAAGAGGTGGTCATCCGGTATTCTGCACACGGTCGCTGCTGTTGCACCTGATGATGATGATGATTCATTGCTGCTGCCGCTGCTTCTTCTTCTTTCAGCCATGGGTGGGAGGCAAGAGGGACCATCGGAGCGACTATCGGAGCAACCTGATTGCTGTCTGTCTGCAACCCTTTCCCCTTTCTTTACTGCCACCTGCTGGGCTACTGATTGGTCTGTCTCTTTACTCTTGTTTTGGTGGTGGTGGGGGGCCACTGCAGTGCCCACTGGGACTCTCTTGGGTGCGGGCAGAGGAGAGGGCTCTCTAGTTTTTTCTTTCTTTCTTCTTCCTCCTTTGATACCATAACTACTGTAAATTGTCTCTTCTTCGTCTTGCTTTGTTCATTCATTTTATGAATCAGCTGGCCACTGATTGGTCTCCACTTGTATCCGGGAGATTTTGTTAATCTACTTCACCGGTAGTAATTCTGGTTAGTACAACATTACCGCCATTTGGATGAAGAAAGGAGGAATACTCTTTTTTTTTTTTTTTTAAGAGGCAGGTAAAGTAGTTAGTTAGTTGTTGTTCTTTCCTTACAGTTGCTGCCGCCATTCTAGCAATCACTACCTCAATCTGGAGCTTGCTAACACCATTTCTTTTTTTCTTTTTTTTTTGTGCAAAGTCCAAACTTGGTGTGCTCAAAATTTGCCAATTCAGTCTTGCGTTTTTTTCAAACTCTGACGTTTTTTTGTCTTAGTTTTGTATTTTTCTGTCCATTTTTTCCATTTGCAGAACTACAACTATGGTGGGTTTCATTTGTAAGAGACATGGAGGGCAAAATTGGAATGAAAACGAGTTTCTTCTAGTCACAGGTGACCATTAGGTCGCGTCAATATCACTCGCTAGCTTTCCAGCCGGTTAGCAGGTAAAATCCTAAGAAGTCCAAAGCACGAGGGGGTTAAGTGGGTATTTCTAAACAATGAGGAAGTTTCGTGTTAATTTCCTTTAACACAGGGGGATTTTATGTATTTTACCCTAATATTTTTAGTGCCACACAATTAACCATTTTAGTAGCAGATATTGCATGAAAATGGCATACATGTCCTCAATGAATTCAATAAGGAGAGGAACTTGTAATTCGACATGTTAAAAATAGAAAGACAAATATGTACTCCAACAAAGTTTTGATTTGTGGACAAAAACCCTCTTATATATAATCAATTTGTCCAAATTTACGAATTAATGATTTTGTTGAAGACATATTTCTCCTTTCCTTGCAGCATGTGCACAGCAAATGATGAAATCAATTTCCATTGAAAAATTGTTAGGATGATTGTGTTATGATGAAAAATAAAAAAAAGCAGATATTTAGAAGGTAGGAATACAATTGGTTCATATCGACAATGAACAAGATGTGTAAAAGATCAATTATGCATTCTTTAAAGGGCATTATATAATTAAATAAAATAAAAGTATAGTATAAGACTACAATTTTTATTCACGTGAAACATTCTTGATAAATATTAGCCTTTGGAAATCCTAATATATCATCTTTTAATATTCATTGGCCCAGTAAAAATTGAATCTTGCTGGATATTGAAAAAATCACACAAATAATTCCTCGGGCCAGTACATAAATTCCCAATTTGTACTGTTCCAGTGCTTAACATATTAAATGATGCATTTTAATTCCTTATACATTAAAAAAGCATTGCATTTTAGCCCCAAACTTTATTTGGGATCCACTTTTTTCAAGAAAATTTATGAACACATCATATAACTACAAAATTATGAGGGGAAAGAAAAAGAAGCATAGTTGGAGACAATAATGTAATGTGGCCCTTCATAGGAACAAAAAAAATTCATCTGATGCTTTCCTTTTGCCTAAAAAATACACATATCCCGTAACTAATATGGTATTAAGTGAAAAAGCAATGCATGTTGTAGGCAAAGTGATAGATGCTTTGTAGGTTAACTTTGAAGGAAAAGAATCTTAGTGCTGTTTCTTAATTTGTCCATGACACATTAATTGCCATTTAAACTTGGTGCATTTTTCAAGCACAATATGGATTGGAAGTGGTCCGAGTGGAGCTTTGGATGAACATGTTGCAAATTTAATAATTGAGGCAATAAAAACTTACTTATATGTAAGAATATAAATTCAGAATGTAATGGATTATATATATGATTTTTCCTCGTATATATTTGATCCACAATTTAAAATATTGTGGTAAAAACTAAGACAACACAAAACATATGTGCCACTAATCTGAATAAAAAAAGCTGATGGACTCCATTCAAATTTCATAAATTTCAAGAAGTCCTGCAATCGCCCGTGTCGGTAGTCGAAGGACTCCATTCAATCCCGGTCTCCTTCCTTTCACACTTGCTCGATCTCACTCCTCTAAAATTCGACCACTTTTTCAGCCCAAATCAAAGAATCCCAGAAAAACCCACATTTTATAAATCCCTCTTAGATTAGAAAAAGAGGGACTGAGAAAAATATGGCATTAAATCCAAGAATATTGAAGGCAGGATTGGGGCTATTGGCAGTTTGTTTGGCAGCCTATATTTTAGGTCCACCATTATATTGGCAATTTAAGGAAGGTTTAGCATCTGTCAAGCGTTCATCATCATCTTCTTCTGCATCTCCTTACACTACCTCATCTGCGATTTCTTGCCCTCCATGCCACTGCGATTGTTCTGCTCAGTCGCTTCCCTCCATTCCCCAAGGCAAGCATTTTAATGAGTTCTTTAGATCTCTTGATTTTAGTTGTTTATTATGGATATTAAGTTGATTTGTTTGGTAAAAGAATTGATTTTGTGTTTGACCCATTACTGGAAATTAGCATATTTAGTTAATTGGGTGAAAAGGAACGAATTTTTTAGTGATTTTTGGATGACCAATTGTTTTTGTGCTCATTTATCCATCTGGGTATTTAAGTTTGGGTGAAAATTTTGACCTGTTAACTAAGTATAGTTCACTTATGTAAAGGAGTGATATTTTTTGTGAATGTGGATTCGTCAGCCATTTGGGTATTCATATCTTGCAAGAAAATTAGCTATGTTTGATGAATTTACTGTTTTTAATCAGTAGATGAAACTTTTTACACTTCCCGCCAAATGGGGATTTGTAATTCACTAAAGTTTTCCAGCAGGGGAGGGGTTGGGGGTTAGAGGTATTTGAACCCAGGACCTCTAATTCCTGGGCCTCAACCTTAAAGGTCATAATATTCTTTAGTTAGCCAGATATTACAATATTGTTGTACCTGTATGAGTGTGCTTGCAACTTGCAAAGTCACTTCCATTGAGTTTACCAAGTCACTGTGTTCCAGTTATGTCAAATCCTTTCCATAGTTAAGCTGATAGGGTGTAAGAGAATCAAGCTGCTCGACTTGAACTGCAAGCAGCTTGGTCAACTACTATCGGTGTTGACCGAGCTCGAGTTGAGTTCGAGCTGCTCATTTATATATTTGAGCCGAGCTTGAACAGGAAAATAGGGAGGTCTATTGCTTGACGGGCTCAATCGAGTGTTGCCTTCTTACGTATATATATATGGGTATCAGCTTTGTTGAGAATTACATGAAGACCTCATTGATGATGAGCTAATTAGTACGGGCTAAAAAGTCTTTTTAGTGCCCAAAAAAATAATAACCCAACAAAACACGCTCTTCTCTCCATTGTGTTGTTCGATCCCACTACCTCTCATCTCACTTTAGAAACCCTCTTTTTCTCCCTCTGTAAATTTTAGATCATCTGACCTCACGGAAGCCACCTTTGATTCAATAGTCTTTTTCAAGTCATTTTGTGGATTTAGAAGATTGGGCTTAACAAAAAATTGGGGAATAAAAAATTGTGGGTTTGATTACATGAACTAGATACTCCAAACATTGATTTTCTGGAATGGAACTTTGTAATTTTTTGATAATTTTCTGTTTTGGTGGTTGCTTTGGCCAACTGATGGTAACCTCGATCTTGCTTCAGTAGCTTTAGTAGTTGAATTAAAGTTTAGATAGCTTCCATTTTATTATTCTGGGGATTGAAAATTATTGGTATTTGGTGTTCCTTCAAGCTTGGAAATCTCCTGTATTTGTTGATTGTTTGATCTGCAAGTTGGTGATGGTAATGAGCTTGAACATCTTTTTTTTTTTTTTAATTTGGACTGCAAGCTGCTGGAAAATGGTTGTGGCATTAGAGTGCTCGATCGAGCTCGAGTATGCCCTGAGTCGAGCTTGGGTTAAGAAAATGTATACTCGACAAGCTCGAGTATGCCTGTTGAGGATCGAGTTGGAGCTCGAGTATGGTGATACTCGAGCTTGACTCGATTCGATTTCTCACCTTTTGGCTTTGGAAGACATAGATAACATTTATTCATCCACTTGCTTAGTTTTTTTTTTTTGGGGGGGGGGGGGGGACACGGGAAAAGTTTAGTCTGCTATTTGGTCTTGTTTGGTTCAGAACTGCATGCATTTAGTTTGTGACATTTTTTTTTAAAAAATTTTCCCCCCTTTCTGGGAGAAGCCCCGCGACAAGTGTAAGTTGGCAGGTGAGAGAACACGGGAAAAGTTTAGTCTTGCATTTGGTCTTGTTTGGTTCAGAACTGCATGCATTTAGTTTGCGACATTTTTTAAAAAAAATTTTCCCCCTTCTGGGAGAAGCCCCATTACTAAACTGATTAGCGTCGGAAATGATTTCAACAGGAGATGATATGTATGATTACTAAACTGCATCACATTGATGTAGTCTTCCTTCTGGTCTTGTTTGGTTTGAATTGCATTTAGTTTCCGAGTATCTGTTTCAAGCACCATAACAAGTGTAGGACGTAGAAATTTTAAACTTTGTCAACCAGTAATGGAAAGTATTCAACAGGAGATGATATATGTCAAAATTAAAGGTACATCTACTAGCACTTGATTTAGCAGAAAACCAATTGCAGAAGATAGAGTGGACAAGGGAAAGGAGGGTGGGGGTTTGTGGATTCGCAAGAAATTATTACGTTCAGTCTAGTTCTGCGTGTAGAGATTTACTTACAGTTCTTCCAAAGTGTTTGGCTTTATTTTGCCTCAAATCATAGCTTTTTGTGGTTCTTGTTAGATGGTTAGGTTTCTTAGAACTTTAAAATGTAAAAGAGTGCTTTATATTGGAGAAAACTGCTAGAAACGGGAAAATGAGGGTAAGCAGAAAGTTGTCAGAGTATCTGAGGAAGATTTTTGTCTTTTTGTCAAATTTATCTTGGGGATGATGGATAACTAAATTTTCCATTCTTTGGTCATTTTCTGTAACCTACTCATCTTGCATTCTTATAATTTTTTGCTTTTAGAAATTTTGATAGTAGTAATCTAATTGCTATGTCCTGACATGTGAAGGTTGATTGAGCTTTAAATTTTCACTCAAGACTTATATATTTGTTAAGGAGTTCCTGCATATGGTATCTGTCTTCCTTTTTTTGGTTTTCCATGGTATTCTTTTCCTTCTTTCTTTATTGTTCATGGGTGTCTGCTTCATGTAACCATTTGGATTGAGTAAACTCTTGCCATTTAGTTTCTGATCAGTCACTTGATCTTGTACATTAAACAGTTTCTAATGTTGATAATCTGTCTTTACTTCGTGCAGGTTTGAGCAATAATTCCTTTGCAGGTCAGTGCTCAGATGCTCTCTCTCTTCTTTCTGTTTGGCTTTTATGTATATGTGCCTCTCTTTATGGTTCTAGAAAATGCTTAAGCTATGAATATGTGTACCCTCTTTTGTTTTTTTTGAGTTTTGTGGGAGGCATGTTTAACTTTAATGCTGATTCTGAATGTCTAGTATATTTTCACTTCGAAATGAGACATGGGTTTGGCATCGTAATTCTTGTTGTAATGTCCTTCTATAAAAATTAAAGAGTGCCTGACACTTAGTGCAGGATGTTTTGAAGTTCTGGGTGTTTATAAAGCCAGTGCAATTCTTGTTGTAATGTCCTTCTATAAAAATTAAAGAGTGCCTGACACTTAGTGCAGGATGTTTTGAAGTTCTGGGCTGTTTATAATGCCATGGACTTTTAGGAAGAGCGACAGAATAAGTTTTCAGCTGCAGTCACAGCTAAAAGGGTAGACATGAGCAATTTAGCATCTATTTTGCCTAGGTGGGGGGATTTTTGGTAGAACATGCTCCTGGTTTTAGATTCAATGCCTTCTGAAGGAGCCCTTATGCTGTTTCTTGTGAAACCTCTGAGCCTGACACTGTTAACTTATTATAATTCTTATATCATTTACTATCTAATTGCATGATTTGGCATGATTACTCAAGAATGTTTCTTTTTGTTTAAATGCAAAAATAACCTACACTTTTATATTGGGGATTCCTTTGTCACGTGGTGGTTGTTGAATATTTGCATATTGATATGCTTGGCTGCTATTTTTGCAGAATTACATCATACTTTTTGTTGGGGATAGTTCAATGTTTGAAGCATTTTTATTTTTAGAATTTGGTTGACTTGTTTGAAAATGGTATATTTTCTACATTTTGTTATCCACAATCACATGCTAAATGTGTTCAGTTACATATTTATGTTTCTGAATACCTAGAATTTAACTACCTACCTAACCTAATGCCAGATCTGGCTATAGATGAGGAATGGTTGTCCAATAACACTGCTGCTTTAATGCATAGATATTTACATATTATTGTTCTATATGGCACAATTCTTTTCCTTGAGATTTGTTTTTGTGCATTGGTCATACATAATGTAAAGAACTTCTTGAGGGGGAAAACAAAAAATGATGAACTTGAATTTTGAATTATCGTTGTTTCCGAGCTCCGTTTCTTTGCAGGACTTCTCTTACCCTGCATCAATTGTTTCTGCTGTTGTTATGTTCACAGATTGTGCAAAACACGATCCAGATGTTAGTGAAGACACAGAAAAGAATTTTGTAGAACTTTTGTCTGAGGAATTAAAGCTGCGAGAAACTGAAGCATTGGAAAATCAGCAACGTGCTGATATGCAATTGCTTGAGGCCAAGAAGATGACCTCCCAATATCAAAAAGAGGCAGACAAGTGCAATAGTGGAATGGAGACCTGTGAAGCGGCAAGGGAAAAATCTGAAGCAGCTTTAGCGGCGCAGAAGAAACTCACTGCCATGTGGGAGATGAGAGCTCGTCAGAAAGGATGGAAAGAAGGCGCTGCAAAGTCTCGCACACAAGAAAATGTACAGGCTATGTAACTCTAGTGGCCGTGGGTATTGTTGTTAGTTGGATAACTCGCATGGAATTCGTCTTCTTAGGGTGGAAGTTCTCCATATTCAGAGGCCTGAGCTCGAAGTGAGCATTAGGTTGATGAATTTCCACCCAGTGTATTTTACAGTATTAGGTCTCTTACACAAAGCATACTGGTCTTCTGAAGCTGACCACCATTTGTGCTGCTGTGAACTGTGAAGCAAGCGATATAGATTTGACGCCATACCTTATAGTAATGTTGATTTCCAATTGTAGGATGCTTTGGGAAGTTTGTGATCATGTTACTACCACTTCTACCTTCTGGGAAAGTTTTGGATTGTCAAATCAGCAATTTATTGGTTTTGTGATGATTATTTTTCAATCTTCAACTGTGGTTATATCTTGACAGCTTGAAGTTACTGGATTTAGATGCAACAGTAAAACTGAATAGTATTTCATCTCGTAAGAACAGGAAAGGAACTGAAATTGAAAAAGGGTGGTAAACACCTCTGAAATGGCAAGGAACTGAATAGTGTCTCATCTGTTATGTTGACCATGTTTGTTTAAAATTTCGAACACATACCCTTCAATCATCTTTTTATTTTCCATGTACATTTAATAACAAATGTGTTGCAATAAATTTTTCTAAAATTACCAAAAAAGAAAAAAAAGAGCTAGACTAAATTGATCTTTGAATTAGGTTCTTCCAAACAAGGCCAAGTTTTAAGCCAACAGCCTCTTGAGCTATTAGTCATCACCAAGACTTTAAAGTTTTAGTGGTGTTGGTGAGCGGTTAAGGTGGGAGGCAAGGGTTCTTGTCACTTAATTATGGCTACACTTTTAAATGGTTTCCTCCAACGGGTTCTCTGTCGGTTAGACTCCTTCATCTCTTAGACTAGGCTAGAATAGTTATATAAATGTTATTGTTGCGATCCAAAAAAAAAAAAACCAAGGCCAAGTTCAAATGACAGAGCAAAAAACCTATTGATTTAGTAAACTTTCGTTATAAAGATTTGGGTCAAATTGAGATGGACTAAAAAGTTGAGGATGTGAAGTCTAAAGCGTCTACAATAGATTTTGGTTGCAAAATCAGAATTAACAATAGACTTAGAGGCGCAATGTGAAATTTGTTTAGTAATCAGTACGGAATATATAGAAAGTGTGATTTTATCAGTGAAAACACTGAGCCAAGGGAGATTGACTCTTCTAAATTCTTTGCAGTAAAACAAGACCAATTCTTCCAATTTCATCTAATTTTGGTCTTTCCCTATGGAGGGGCTCTTTTCCTAGTTTTATTTCATTTGTTTAAATAAATTCTCTCCTAAGATTTTCTAGTGAGAGATTGTTCTCTCTTAGGATTTTTTAGTGAGATATTCTTCTCCCCTAAATTTTTCGAGTGAGAATTTTGTTTTCTCCTAGAGTATCCTTGTAAGAGTGTTTTTCATTTTTCATCTTTTTTTTTTTAGTTGGTGAAATTAAAGATTTAGTAGATCTCAAAGTGGTTGTGACTTGTGTCATGGCCATTTCTTCTTTTTGATAGTAAATGTCATTTCATTCAATAAATCTTCACTAATAACATAAATTACATCAAATAAACATGATATAGATATATATAGATCCCAAATCAATAGATATAGTAGATCTAAGAAATCAATACAAATAAGATAATATTGATGCTTCTATATATCTTCCATTGGAATGAATTATTGTAACCCAATACATTTGTGCATGTTGTGACAACTTCTAAAATATATAATAATCATTATCATTATTATTATTATTATTATATAAAAAGTATGACGAGTCTTGACAATAAGGTGTGTGAGTGTAAGCATATTTTGATCTTAGTTTTTGTTATACCTAAATTACCCTTATGTCTTTTAATTAGAGTTATTGCATTTCAATCATGATACTAATAAGAAAAATGAAAAATTTCAATAAATTACATCTGCAAAATGTTGGAAATTAAAATTAAAACTACCTATCTACAACTATATTCACCAATCATCTTCTTCATCTCCAATTATTGTATATGTTAAAATTATCTTTAATTATTATATTCTTATGCGTGATAATTAAAGCTAACTATATATATATATATATATATATATTGGTTTAGAAGAAAACCACAATTAATAAGAAGACAAATGTTATAAATAGTTAATGTGAAAATAAAAGGTTAAATTGATTATTAAATTCACTATATTATGTCATATTGACTAAGAAAACTTCAAAAAGTATCAATAATTATTAAAAATATAACAGAAAAGGTTTACAACTACTGAAATTGATAAAAATTTGTTGTATCCAAATCATATTGTTTTAGTATGTATTTTGCGTAGGTTTTGTTATACACACTGGTTTGACACAACATAGAAAGTTTCTTCTTCTTACCATCACAATCCAAGTAAAATATGCAACAACTTAGTTTAGATATGATAATCTTCCATCTTTAGAGTTCGATAAACTTTTTATTACTTGGTATATAATAAACATTTTCTACAACTAGCAATTGCTTAATTTTGTTTATTATATCGTTTCTTAGTCAATATTATACCAACAACGTAACTTAAATATGATAATCTTCCATCTTTAGAGTTTTTATAGCTGCAGAATGCACAATAAATTTTTAATTTCTTTGCACACAATAAATATTTTGTACAATTACCAATTGTTTAATTTTGTTCATTTTATAGTTTCTTTGTTTATATTATGCCAATAATCCAAGTTTTGCACAGAAATTTAATATATTAAAGATTTTATATCTTGGAAAAATATATTCATGTGTAAAGTACGTGAATTGTTACTAGTGTCAATATAAATGATTTTTTTAAATAGTACTAGCTAGTCTATCTACATACAATATATACAAAAATAAAAATTTTAATTTGAAAAGAGATTGCATTATCCAGACCCGCTAGTATACCAAAAAATGTTTACAGTACCTGTGTCGAATAGACCAATGCTAAATGCTCAGCAGTTTCATGAATATTTATTGCTCTGTTATAGACAGATTTCTTTTGGCAAAGATGATCAAACCTGAATTTAATAACTTATCTTGAACAGATAGTTTCTTATCTTTGTCAGAAGAAGTATGTAGAGCACGAAGATATACTCAATGACGGAGAACAAACACTTCTCTGAGTATTTATTGCAGTTTTCAAGAAAAAAAATTTTAATACAAAAATAGATGTTTCTGACATCTTGTAAGAATGCCGAGATAAAATTTTCATTGACACTGCAATAAACCTTCGGTCCAGATTCCATGCCTTATCCTTTGCAACCTAACTTTTCAATATACAAACAAAGACAATCATCCAATTCACAAAAATGTAGGACCCTAAGTACCATCCCCCATTCCCCTAACCACCCGCCTTTGGGCTGGTGATCGCCTGGTGGGGTGAGAAGTCAAGGTTTCAATTGCCACAATAAGTGGCTCTTCTAAAAAATTTAGAATGCACCCGTTTGGTTCGGTGATGATTTAGTCTCCACTTGTCCCTCATAGGTCCAGTTGGGCCTCCTCTTAGATAGATTAGAATAGAGTAGGATATAAATAAAATAGCGACGAATGAAAAAAAAAAAAAAAAGTACCATTCCCCTGACTTTTATTTTGTATTTTTTTTGGTGAAACATAAGTACCATCCATCTTATATCTTCTTGATTGATGATTAGTCCAGTTGCATCAACCTTTTAATCACTATCTACCCTCTTTTATTATTCTTATTGAGAAAAGCGAAAAACACAACAATGATCACCTAATAGGAGGACCAAGGCCCTAGCAGGCACAATCTAAAAGCTTAAACGTATTGTTTCAAAAATGCATATTCTTCATTTTGACCTCTGCCTTATTCTAGAAGACAAACATATTGTAACCTGTCTTATAATTAGGTAAAATTACACAAGTACAAGAAATATGGGCATGTTTAGAGTAGTAAAACTTTCTAAATTATAGATTAATCTTTTCTACATTATTAGTGTATGTTTAATTAATCTTAGGATTAATAGAGTGTGAACTTCATGGAAGTAACAAACCAATTCGAAAAAAAGAAAAGACTTACATAATTATGCAAAAGAACCACCTTCATAACGTGATAATATTTGTAAAACTGATCCTTCTGAATCCGAATATTGTACACAAGTTGATCAATTAGCATTTTTTACGGCAGTAATTGATCCTGAAGAAATGGTAATTGAATCATATCTTTGAAACATGTCAGCCAAAAACAAAGATGCTGTGAGAGTCACATAGTCTTTAGCAGCACACTGTTTGTTGGATTCACTTGGTGACCCTGTCTGTGGTCCATTAGACCAAAAAAGATAATTCAATAACTCCTGACCCTTTTCTTCAGTAAATCTTCCAGGCTCAAAATTTTCAGGATTATCAAACACCTTTGAATCCTTCATCACCAATGGTTGATAGCCACAAAGAAGCTCACCTTTCTTGATCTCGTACACTGAATCATATGAAGTCAACTTGAAGTCTTTCCTAGCTCTTGCATATTGCAAAGGAACTGGAGGGTTAAGTCTCAAAGCTTCATAAACGAAAGATTGGACCAGCTCCAATTCTTTGATGGCTTCAAAACTAAGCTTTGATGAATCTGTTCCAATTTTTTCTCTAACTTCATTTCTGAGTTTTTCTTGAATCCCTGGATTCTGGTCATCTCCCAGAGCATTGACAAGAGCAAGGAAAAGTAATGAGAAGCCACCATAAGCATTGAACCCTAGCATGAACAAAAGATTGTGAACCGTTTCTTTTGCAGTTAGATTGAACTCTTTTTCACCCCTTTGTATTACTTCTGTGCCTTCTTCTTCAATGAATTTGACGAGCTTGTTATAGCCACCTTGGACAAGCCAAAATGGGTATTGAAAGGAGTGGAGGAAGATTTCTTCTAAAGGTTGTAGAATGCCAACTTTGACAGTTGGGAGGAGCTGCAATCCAAGCCATGTATCAATCAGGGCGAAACCCGCTTTCGATATCTCCGGGGAAGTTGAGGGATCAGCTCCAGTTATGCAAATAGTGAGGAAATTGAAGAGAAATTGTTGCAAAGGAGGGATGATGTTGGATGAGCCAGATTTGGAGATGTCTGATTCAATTGTTGCCCACATGGTGTCCAGCTTGCTCACCATTGTTTTCACCCATATAGCTGAGCTCCTTTTTAGGATATCCATTGAAAATTTCTTGAGCTATCATAATGATCAAACAAATCTTGAAAATTAAACACCTTTAGAGAAAACAATTTACTGATAAATGTAGGTATCAGTTGAGAATTTCATCAGAATTGTTATTAGATTGTTACATATTACCATGAACATCGTATTGGTTACATCATTGGATTAATTTTTCATACAATGACAATGTATATACTACTAACGAGGTTAGAT